TTGGATGAAACTGATTATCTGGACCCATTCAGTCCGGCTTCAGACCCGGGTACGGCACTGAATCTGCCTTGGTCGCCCTGTACTATGACCTGTGCAGGGAGAGACACAGGAGGAGTGCATCCCTGTTAGTTCTCCTGGACCTCTCAGCGGCTTTCGATACCATCGACCATGGTATCCTTCTGAATAGGCTGGCGGGATTGGGAGTTGGAGGCACCACGTGGCAGTGGTTCTGCTCCTATCTCAACGGCCGAATTCAGAAGATGGTGCTGGGGGACTATGGCTCTGCGCTATGGCAGTTATGCCATGGAATTCCGCAGGGGTCCATTTTGTCCCCCTTGCTATTCAACATCTACATGAAACCGCTGGGAGAGGTCATCAGGAGGTGTGGGCTGCAGAATCATCAGTACACTGATGATACCCAGCTCTACCTCTCGTTTTCCACCAAGCCCGGTGAGGCAGTGGCTGTGCTGAAGGTAATGGGCTGGATGAGGGCCAATAAACTGAAGCTCAGTCCAGACAAGACAGAGGTCCTGTTGGTGGGTGGTTCGGGACTCGGGATGGGGGACTTGGGCCTTGTTCTAAATGGGGTTGCACTCCCTCTGAGGGACAGGGTTTGCAGCTTAGGAGTGCTCCTCAACCCTGAACTTTAGAAGCCCAGGTGACAGCGGTGGTGAGGAGCGCTTTCCTTCAGCTTCGGCTGATCCATCAGCTGCGTCCCTTCCTGGAGAACGATTGCCTGGTGACAGTGACACACGCGTTGGTAACTTCCCAATTAGATTTCTGCAACGCGCTCTACGTGGGGCTACCCTTGAAGACGGTCCGGATACTTCAATTGGTGCAGAATAGAGCTGCCAGGCTGCTGACAGGGACTGGCCGTTGTTCTCATATAACTCCAGTTCTCCGTCAGCTCCACTGGCTCCCAATTGAAGTCTGGGCCCAATTCAAGGTGTTGGTGATGACCTATAAAGCCCTCAACGGCTTGGGCCCTGGGTATCTAAAGGAACGTTTGCGTCCATATATGCCCTCCCGCCCCTTGAAATCAGCAACAGATGCCCTTCTCCGGGAACCCTCTGTGAATGATATTAGGAGGGTGAGTACTCGGAGGAGGGCTTTCTCTGCAGTGGCGCCCCACCTATGGAATGCGCTCCCCAGAGAGGTCTGCCTGCCGCCATCGTTATTTGTTTTTTGGTGCCAGGCTAAGACCTTTTTATTTAAAACTTAAGTGTTAATTTATTATGTAGGATTTTTAAAACATTTTAAGCCGAGATGCATCGGGTTTTAATATTTTTAGTGTATAATTTTTGTATGATTTTGTTTGTTTTTGTTTTTGTTGTGAGCCGCCCCGAGGCTTTGTTGCGATGGGGGCGGCATAGAAATGTTTTAAATAAATAAATAAATGGGGCGGGGGTTAATTATTTGCTGTCATTGGAGCCTCCATTGTGCATCTGGTTCCATGTGGTGTCTTATAGCATGCAAACTTGAGGTTTGCTCCTTTCCAACACACACACACACACACACGTGCGCGCGCGCGTGCACAAACTGGCTTTTTACATAAACAAATTGTTACATTTGTGGTATTTCATGGAAAGATTAAAAAACCTAACCAAATAAAATTGATCATAAAAATGTGGGAACATTCACTGCATGGCAAATACCAAATGAAAATAAACACTGGTATTAGAAAGGCGCAGACCTTGTGATACCACTCCTATCAGAATTGACTTAGACAGAAATGATCTACATATTTGATTCATAATCTTATAAATATAAAACAGATTTGGGCCACTTTACTAAGCTAGCCTTTTTCACTGATTCATGTAATAGACTGTATTATTGAATACATATTGCTTTCACCATGATCCTAGGTCAGTCATGAAACTAAGTTATCAGCCTACAAAGTTGTTATTAAAGCACTTGCTCCCAAATATCATTATTAATAATAAAGAGCGTAAAAAAACACAAGTATGAATTCTAAGACATTTAGAGGTCATCTTCACTTGGCTCAGGTGATTATCCACTTGCAAGTCTGTTGGATTTCAAGAAAACATGCTTCCAGATAACTATGCTGACTATATCCTAAAGTGTACTTTCTACATATTGCAGAGCGAACCTTGGCTGAGTTTGAGTCTTACCAGTAGAACACATCTACTGGTATGGAATCTAAAAATATATATCCCCAAAATCCAAGTATGAGATTTAACAGCAGCAATTTTCACATTGGAAAAGAAGTATCGCAACTGTTTGAAGTAGGCTTTGCAAGGTGTAGGATGACTCTCAATTTTGTGCCACTATATGCATTTGTCATAAAGCAAAATTATATGAGTTCAGAAAAGGACTTAGTAATTATGGACTGACAAGTCTCTAAAAATATGCAGGCTCTAAAACTGCTCTGTATCACAAAATCAGTGAAGAAATCACGGTGTGTGATCTTCTGATAGAAGTAAAGCAGAAGCAGAGGGTGTGCAGGCCTCAGTGTTTCTTTATTGTGTTAAAATGGTTCAGTTTGAGTTTGGTGATAATTTCTCGTCAGCTTTAAGTCTAATATTTGTCTCCAAGGCATGCACTAATTAATTAATTTCATTTTTATACCACCCAATAGCTGAGGCTCTCTGGGCTGTTAACAAAAGTTAAAAACACACAAACAACAATTAACATAGAACAAAACCACTGCTATTGCAACTGAATCAGCATAAATAGCAGCAGTACAGGATAACATGCAATAATAAAACTAAAGTTAAAAAGTTAAACTTTTAAAATGCTGGAAAAATGAAAAGGGTTTCCCCTGGCACTGATAAGAATACTAAAAGGAGCTCATTCCAAAGCCAGGGTACCACAAACAAAAAGGTCTCCTTCTGGTAGCCACCTGCCTCACTAATTACAGTAGATTTTTTCTTCATATTTTCTTTGAAAATAAATGCAGGGTTGAAGCTGTTTTGGAACTTCATACAAGGAGCAATACATTCTGAGTTTCACTGTAATTTACCAAGCTCAAAGTAAAGTATTGCACTGTCACTAGTTCTTAATAATGTTTTAACTAAAAAGCAAGACTACTTTTTCCAGTTTTAATTCAACAGGTTGTGTCTCACTTATTTCAATAGCAACTGTTTGCTGCAGAGGCAGTCTCTGAGTTGCCTGAGCTACAAACAACCCGTATTTATGATTGGGCTGCCATAAAGCCTATTAATTTTTTAAAATTACTGTGGAAAATAGTCATCATTATAGAGAGAGAGGAAGCAAAAAGAGAGAGGGGGGCCTCCAAATCAGGCCTTCCTATCCCGTTCATCCAGAGAGTGAAATTGCTCCAGTATTTCCTTGCTGCAAAGAGGAGCTGGTGAGTTTGGATGGGTGGGGGGCTAGAGATATTCACAGCTTTTCCACTTTCACTGGGGTCCTATGTCCCTAACCACCATGAATGTGGAGGGCCAACTATACGTGATCCAACTTGCATACAAATTCAACTTAAAGACACATTCCATTTTCTTAGGAACTGAACTCATTCCTAAGAAATGAGGAACTGAACCCAGGGACTGTCTCTAGGCATTTGCCAGAGAAAGGTCCATAGTATGGCCTATGCTATTCCCTCCAGACCAAATGTCCCTTCTAGCCCTTTATAACTCAAGGCTTTCTGGTCCTTACATCATACAAAAAGAACTAAGTACAGTATATAATACTCACCTGCTGCACAAGCTGCTAAGAATTTTTCACTCTTGCATGGTTGTTTTGCTATAAGGTGAGTACAGCTTCTGTATTGCTAGTAACAACAAAAAAGAACATGCAGGTGTCATCAAAAGATACACATGATTTTAAAGGGGACAAAACAAGAGGTTGAATTTAGGTTCAAATTGAAGATTCCCATCTGAAAAACCACTGTATGCACAACACCTTACTCCAACGATATGAATGTATCCAGGTAATAAATCTAAATATTTTATGCATTTTATCTATTATCATTTACCTCAGTGTCAAAGAAAGCACAGTTTAGTTTCAGAAGCAGTTGTACTAAGAACTTCTTTTCTTCTTTCTTAAATCCAGTTAGCTGGATCCTTGGTATTTGGTTGCCACTTTCCATCTGTTTAAAAATAAGATGCCCAAAGCATGTTTGAGGCTTTGATCATACAAAGATTCATGCATTTCTTGGGTAATTCTACAGAAATAAGTTGCACAGCTCTCATATTATGCAAAAACAATAATCTTTCCAGGATTCCTGTTTATTATCTAGGTTTAACAAAACTGAATATCCATATGCCCATTGTCGAAATCAAATATAAAAAAACAACAAAAGAAGACGTTAAGGCAGTGTACATTTAATAGAGAATAACCTCACTGAATTCAGCAGGATTTACTTCCAAGTAAACATGAATTAGAACAGGATGCGGGTCAATCAACTCTTCAGAAACCTATTCTCCTCTATAGGGTGTTCCAATTCCGATGAAAATAGTTACAAAATAAACCTACCGCCTTGCGACTACTCAGTGGAGACCAAGAAGCGACTCGTCCATTCTGATTCTTTATGGAATTATGAATAAACTACACTACAAGCGTGACGCGAAAAGCACCCAAAAAAAGAAACTGCAAACCGGAGCCGCGAGCATTAAGAAGCGGGAAAGCGGCGGGGTGCGCTCAGACGCAACTCCCAAGCAGCAGAAGAACAGACGTTATTGTGCTTTCCTAAAGTTAATTATTCTCCATACAGCTTCACAGAAGTGTGCCTCTCCGAACACTCCGCCACCCTTCAGAAGCGTCAAGACCTGCCGTTTTACCTCTGAATGCGTCTATTCAACCAACGTGATCATCGCGATAGCTTCGCTTACTATTTTGGCTGCGGCCGCGGCTTCTTCCTTCGCCGCCTCGTTCGCGCGCGCGCCTGAGTGGCTCCTCCTCCGGATGTTTGAGGCCAGCCGTTCCGGGCCGCTGTTACGGACGCTTGTTGGTCTCCGGGGCTACCAGGCTCGGAGAGGAGCGGGGCCCGGCCTACCGGGTAAGTGACGTCGCCGTTTGCCGGGGCAATGGTGCGCGGTATTTCCCTTGGCCTCTCGGAGCCCCTCTCCTTCTCCTGCCTTTTCTTATCCCATCTTCTCAAGCCTCCGCCTCCAAAATTCAAGTTCTTTCCAACGCAGTTCTACCCCACAAAAAGTAAGTCTTGTGGTACCCTAAAGAGTAACAGACATGGTTATGATGGCATAAACTTTCGCGGACTGTTCGTCCGGAATTTGAAAATGAGGACTCGAGTTCATAAAAAACTCATGTCCCGATTCATACGTTATTCTTAAAGGCGCCACAAGTCTCTTCGTTAATACGGCTACCTCACTCTGGACTTCTGGAAGTTAGATGTGTGGAAGCTCATGCCATGCACAAGATACATCGGTTAGTTCTTAATTCTGTACGCATTTACTAGTGGTATACCCGCTGAATCCAGTGGGACTTATGAGTAGACATATATTGCGCTTTTAGTCATCAGGATATTTGCAGCTCTACATATGATCCTACTCAGGTATGAATTCTAGGGATTTCAGTGGGACTTATTCCAAAGATGGTTCACTTATAGTATCACAACCTTATTTTTGTGGGTGAAAAGTGCATTATTTTGTTCAAAGATTTAAGGAATCCATGTAAAAACCCTACATTGCTTTACTAAGAAAACTTTTTTCACTATCACAAAGTTTAATGGTGAAAATATACTAAATATAATGTTTAACAGTGAAATATATTAAATACACATTTAAGACTATAGTTTTATGGACACTTACTTGAATGATTCACTGAACTTGTTAGTACTTTATTTTAGCATACATGAGTTCTTGTACTTTGTTTTGAGGCTTGATTGAACCTCTGTACCCAGGATACATCACTTAAATTAGTTTGGGGGCTGTAATACCATGTTTGTTAATTTCAGAGGAACATTTTACATTATTAAACACAACAAAAACAGTAATTGCATTTTGGTTGTGAAGTCTTCTGATTTTTTCTTTCTTTCTGCCTCACAGGGAGTAGGAGGGGAAAGCACCCCATCCCAAACAGTTAATTTGCTAATTCATGGACTACTGTGATAAATTGAAGAAAATACATTTTTCATATGCTGTTCTTCTCTGAAATGCTAGATCCCTCTCCCAATACCTTTTCTGGTGCTGCCACTGCTCTACCTCCAGTCTCTTTCTCTTTCTTTGTCCTGTATCACAAGTTCTACTTATTCCTCCTCCATTTGTTCTACACTAAATTCTCCTCAGTCCTCTCTTTATACTTCCACTATCTCATCTTAATTACATCCTCCTTCTGCTTTTCAGTAATCGTAATCTGTTTGTAGAGCAGTTGCTGCCATAGCATTCTCATTTCCCCCCTCCTCTGTACCTTTTGCTTTCAGTTTCCTCTTTCTTCAGTTTTTCCCTATCTTCAGTCTTTCCCTACTTTCAGTCAGTTTCCTATCTTTCTTTAGTCTTGTTGTTTAGACCTCTTTCTATTTCTTCTTGCTATTACCTTTAACTGCACGTCTCAGTGAGTTTAACAGTAACTGTATACAAGGCTTTACTCTATTAGTATTTCATAGATGAAACATATGTGAGTCATGTAGTAGCTGGCTGGCTGCAACAGTCTGGAAAAATGGTGCTAACTCTATTGTGTGTTCCTGAATTTGGGAGAAGGGGAAATACAATAGCTGAAATAGGCATTCTCCCATTCTCAGCTCTATTTTTGATTGGCTTGGTCAGGACTTTGTACCAAGAAGTGGGAAAAGTCTGCAAAACTAGGTCTTGTAATTCCTCCAGGACCTGACAGAAAGAGAAGGAAGGACCTATGCTTTCTCAGAAGCCTTATATATTTTAGGCCTGTGCTTTAGAGTGGTAGGATGTAGTGGGCCAGTCTACTATGGCTTATTTGAGCTGCTGTGGGCTGAGTTGTTATCCATGTGAATACTCAGTGCATGGCAGTGCTTATAAACCTGGGGTCTGCAGGTTATGCAAGAGTTAAGCAACCCTCACATGCCCCAACAAGAAGACCATGTTTAACCTTTTCATCATACATAGTCTCCTGGTTCACATAACAAACAGTGGCCAGGTGTTCACTGTGTAAATCTCACCTAGCCAGAGTGAGCAGTGTGTGCCAGGAAGGATTTATATGTTCGGTACCTGGCCACAGCTTGTATCATGTGAGGACTTTCATAATCCGTAGTCTGTTGGGTCACTTGAAAGTGATAATGGGTTAAGTAAGCCATGGTGGGCTGTTTTGATCCTGCAGACTGCATCAATATTAGTTAAGATTTAACTTCTAATATGTCATTCCTTATCTAAGATTTGAATGTTAATAGGGTGAGAAACGGATAAGAATGGAGTAATAGTTTATGGATTTAAACAAGCGAATGGGGGTGGGGAGATGACAGTACTGTCAGTGAAGGAATGACAGAGAGAAGAGAGATGGAAGAAATTAGGAAATACAAAGGAAAGCAAAGATCAACAGGAAAAGAAGTCTGCAGAAGTGGAGGGAAGAGAGGGAGGGGAAGAAAGGTAAAGAATAATAGAAATAAATATAGAAAAGGGAAAGGATTTTACTGAATCTGATGGTAGTGAAATGAGCAAAACATTATTTTATATATTTTTAATCTGTCCAAATTTTGAGTGGATATAACAATTAAAATATACAATAGAATATTTTCAAGAATAAAATACAATACCACACAGACAGCAGAGGCATAGATAAAAGATGGGTAAAAACCTAGAACAAGGTCTCTAAAATGCCTGAGTGAAAAGATGATAATATATATGCCAGGCAGAACTTTTTGAAGAGGGCATTCCTGAATTGCAGCACTACAACTGAGAAGGTGCTCTCTCTATTGTAACCAGCTGCTTAATTTTCTTTAGGAGAGACACCCAAAGGAGGACCCTCATAGATAACTGTTAGGTCCAAACAGGTACATGCTCTGGTCCGAAGCTGTTTGGGGTTTGAGAGGTCAAGTTAGCAATGATGAAGTTAGAAATAACATACCCTTAGTAATCAACATAGAATGTGAATTGCTAGCATTCTAAACAGAGTTAGATATTGTTTTCAAATCTTTTGTTGCTATAGTTAAAACCTTGCATTGGTCAGAGTATGCAATGGATGACCTTTGTTCTGCAGGAATGGGTTTTCTAAGTGAACCACCCTTAACATACTCTTGATATTTCTGTAAAGACATTATTGAAAGATACTCTCTTCTTGATCCAAGTGGAGTCCATCTCTTTACTTTGGTGTTTAGGAAGCTAACTGAGCCAAAAGGGGCCATGGCCTGAAAGCTAAACCTGGATTCCAGTTGTTTGGAATTGTGAAAAAGTTGTAGATGTCAAAACATTATTTCAAGAATCACAGTCTTATCTTTTCCATCATCTGTGTATTTTTGTAGAAGCATTGTTTCCTTAACTTAGGGCTTGCACTCTGGTCTTATAAAAGATACAGCCACAAACCAGGTGTGTTATTACAACACTAACTGAAAACAGCAGTTCTATATACGATGCTTCTTCCTCCTCCTTAGTGTATAGTGGTCTTGGTAAAATAATTTGGCATACTTATGACAGATTTCTTTTCAAATTCTCCAAGGCACAAATCAGTAGTAGAGTGTGATTGTGATGTTAACATTCATGTTAACAGTGGAAATTCTATGGAGGCTTTCTGTTGCAAAGTATAAGAACCCTCACCTTAAGAGTCTGGTAATATACATATGGTGATGCATCTTCTCCATTTCTGGGGATGGGAGTGATTTCTGCACTTCTGTTGTGATCTAATGCCAAGACAGAACCCAAGGGACTATGGAAGAGGACAATGTTTCAGAGACAGAATGTTGCAGGCAGAAAGTTTTCAGGCTTTTAGAGTACTGTAGACTTGAGTATGACTTGAGTAAGAGCATGACCTCATTCAATATGACTTGAAAGATTAAACTATTATAACTATTATAATTAGCTGTTTCCCATTTCTTTCAAATAAAATTTGTATGGTTTGTATGTCAAAATGTTGTTAAAATTAGTAGCCTTAGTAAACAACTTATTATTTAATAGAAAAAGAAATATCTTTAAATTTCTGTACTACTTGAGAATGTTTCGTTAAACCTTATTCCTTATCAGAAGGCAACATTGTGTACTTGTAATCTTGTACTCTCTTTTGACCTACTTACTATTCTAATCCACTTCATTGAAAAGTAATTAACTAAAATAGCTTTACAGTGTTCTTATGCATGATTTTATAGGAACCCTGTTGATAGATTAATGCAGTACACTTTGTATTTTCGCATTGTAAGTGCTTTATATTATTCATCCTCTTTATTATGTTGCAGCATTCCTGTAATAGATTAGTAATATTAAAAATAGCAACTTCTCCAGTACCATCATATCAGTTTTTGACTTTGCTGAAAAATTGTACTTTTTACAGAGAAATGCCGTAGTTGTTGTTGTTTTTAGTTGTGAGGTAGTGTCCGACCCATTGCGACCCCATGGACAACATTCCTCCAGGCCTTCCTGTCCTCCACCATCCCCCAGAGTCCACTCAAGCTCACACCAACTGCTTCAGTGACTCCATCTAGCCACCTCATTCTCTGCCATCCCCTTCTTCTTTTGCCATCTATTGTTCCCAGCATTAGGCTCTTCTCCAGGGAGTCCTTCCTTCTCATTAGGTGGCCAAAGTATTTGAGTTTCATCTTCATCTTCTAAAGAACAGTCAGGGGTGATTTCCTCTAGGACTGACCTGTTTGATCGCCTTGTGGTCCAAGGGACTCGCAGGAGTCTCCGCCAGCACCACAGTTCAGAGGCCTCAATCATTTGGCACTCAGCCTTCCTTATGGTCCAGCTTTAACAGCCATACATTGCAACTGGGAAAACCATAGCCTTGACTATATGCACTTTTGTTGGCAGGGTGAAGTCTCTGCTTATTATTATTATTATTATTATTATTATAACATTTCTATGCCGCCCCTTGCCGAAACCTTGGGGCGGCTTACAACATGATAAAATACATTTTTAGTATGCT